TAAATCTGGTAAAAGCTTCTTTAAACAGGACCCATAAATAAATAGAAATAACAAATTGAACAAATAAATAAAAAACACTAAGGACTCTGTATAAACTTACTGGAGGACACTGCAGAAGTGTGAGAGCCTCAGGAGGTAGAAACGGAACGACACCTAGTCATAAATCAACAGAACCGAGTCAAAGACCGAGGACTGGCGACCACCGCACAGTCCTGCCCCTGCACCCACCAGGAGGCGACAGAAGAACCCTCAGCACATGCTGCAACAGCACACCAGAAGGCGGCAGAACGACCTCATCACAGTCTACACCTGCACCACCAGGGGCAACAGAAGACCCTCAGAACATCAGCACCTGCACCATCATGGGGCCGACAGCAGAGGGTCGAGAGGAACATCTCCAACGGAGAGGCAGAACCGAAACAATGGTGGTTTGTTCTGAAAAGACAGATGTAACATGCAGTTAATAACACAACCATGAATGAGACCAGAGAGAGACCAGAATGACCGAGAGAGAGCAGAAAGATGAGAGAGACCAGAGCAGACCACTGTGTGAAGCACACAGAAATATTGTTATTGTTTAGTTCAGTATAAGATCACATTCAAGAAAATCTCAAAACCGTCACCCAAACAAGTATCCATCCAATCAGAACCAGTACAAGAAACGAGTAAAGAGTAACTGAGTCCCATCTCAATAGAACAGTACCAATCAAATCCAGTTAAAACTATATTTCTCTAGCCTCAATCCTGGATCAGACAGACCCATCGTCACCTTTCGGAGCAGATCCGACCCTCACATGTGGGCCTCCCAGAGGTATCTCCACTTTCTCCCACCATATCTAAGAGTTGCTCGTCTAATGCAGAAGCTCTAAGGGCATTGGTCTCTTCCCATCAAGGACCAATGTCACCAGTGTTTGTTATAAAATAATTTCCTGTGTTTGAACTGTTGTTTGATTCGCCAATTGTTGTTGGAGAATTACCGAACTTTGTTAGTCCTCAAGATAAGTACTGTTTCTCAGGACGTGCAGGTCAGGGGGAGCAGGGGCGGCAGAGCCTCCACCTGCCATTATAGGAAACTAATAATTATTTTAGTTTTAAATATATAATTATATCCACTGTCCTATGCTTTTAATGTATATTCGGCACGACCCATCAGTTTTGATCATTCTGAAGTCAAAATCGCCGAAATCCCGTATTCCTATCAAAGAGACGAGTGAGGCACGCTCCTGCGTGCCTCCACCCCAACGCTCCCTCACGTGTGTGTGTGTGTGTCTGAGTGCACTCAGCTCGTGCAGTTGATATATCACCGTTTGTTACAATATCCTGCTTTAAAAACATTTTTTAAACCTCATCTTAGTTTTTATAGTGTATTGGCCCGTATTGTGTACAATTTAATTTAGTTTAAGCTTTTGATCGTAGATGAACACACAAGAAAAAGCTTGGGCGTGAGGCAGGCGGATCTGTGCCTCACCGCTAGGGGTGATAGAGAGCCTAAAGTTCAATACCAAGTTGCTAACAAACAATCAGCCCAAAATGCTATATCTTTTTCTGGAAAATGGATGTTATGAATGAAGATTTTTTTTCACAATTGAATTTCAAACAAAGACAAGAAATAATATAGACTGGGAGACCACCACTGACTTACGAGGTTAGTCCGCTGCGGGGAGAGTTTGTTAAACTGTGTTTAAGTATGAACATTGACAGATACCGGCAAAGTAGTGCTATTCCGACAAACACAGATGTCCAACACTGCTCAAGAGTTTCTGCAACTTGTTTTACATTATTGTTTAAATGTGTCCTCGCGTCTCACTCTCCTCGCGACTCCGTCTCTCTCTGCTCCTCGCGTCTCCGTCTCTCTGACCTCTCTGTCTGCTCTCTGCTCCTCTCTCCTCGCGTCTCTCTCTCCTCGCGTCACCGTCTCTCTCTGCTCCTCGCGACTCCGTCTCGTCCATGCTCCTCTCTGTCCCTCTCTGCTCCTCTCTCCTCGCGACCTCTCTCCTCGCGTCTCCGTCTCTCTCTCTCCTCGCGTCTCCGTCTCTCTGCTCCTCTCTGCTCTCTCTGCTCCTCTCATCCTCGCGTCTCTCTCTCCTCGTGTCTGCTTCGCACCAGCGCTTCTTAAAGATGTTGTTTTGATGCGGAGCAGACTCATCTAGATTTGTTGTGAGAAGAATTAAAAAGAAGCAGGTTCTCTCTTAACATAACAGTAAATAAAGTTTGTGGATGTCATTGCATTGTGATTAAATGCAATCTTCTTTTGAATAATGATTTAAATCTGACTTTAAAGTCTGTGCCACCCCAATCTCAAACCTCCACCGCACGCCCCTGCTGTTTCTATATCTATTGTTGTGTTTAGAATTATTATAAACATCAGGAAATAACACCTTGGTATGGCAACAATTGAAAATGGACAAAATCCTCTTGATACTCTAAAATAAAGAGAGTGTCATGCAAAAGGATCCACATGTGATATTGTATTATTAAAACTGGGTACCTGACTTTCTTTAATATAATATACTCTTAAATCTCCCACCGTAGATCTTTATAATACAACCAGACTAATAATAATAATAATAATGCAGGGGTTTACAAACCACTCCTCAAAAAGGCGTCACTCCAAACACAAAGGTCATAAAATACTACTGAACCAACAGCTGCCCTGGGCACACTGAGATAAGTGAAAGAAAGTGATCTTCTGTGTAAAGACAGAACCCTATAAATCAAAGATTTGAAAGATCGGTTAAAGAAGGTTCAGTGATTGTCACTAGGACAGAGGGACAGGGTCATGCAGAAGGTACAAACTCACAGAGGCGACAAACACAGGGTCTACTTTAACATTTTATCTAACATTCTGAAGGTTCAGAGCCAAACCCCAAACACTAACATGTAACAGATGAGACTGAAGGTTTACTATATGATCCTCCATTAGATGTTATTTTAACACAGGACTCCCAGAGATTTAGATTTAAGCGTAAGACACAGCTCATGTAGACTCATCACCTCATACTTATGACTTTTCTGTTTTTAGCATGTAGATTTTTTCTGTCATTATTTTTATGAACAATCTATTTTTTACGTTGTAATTCTGCATATAAAGGCGAGAACTAAGAGTTAATTCTAAAGTAAAACAATGTAGCCGTTATGATCATTTGGCAACCCCAGGTGCAGTCCTGGACTGTCCTGGACTGCTAGCAGTAGCACTTATTAGAAAGTGAGTAAAGGGTACAAAGTATTGTGATCACTTTTAACAAATCTGGTGAAAACAAACTCTTAATGGGGATTTTTTCCTGAATTGCAGTTATTGAGGGAGAGCAGTCAAAAAGACGGCTCGGGAGACTTTGGAAGTCCTGTGTAAAACTTAACAGATGAAGACACCACCACATTAAAATACTGATGACAACAGTTTATCATTCAGTGTATTTGACTCCAGCTGTAGTTCAAAGTGACCAGCAGAGGGAGCCTCTCACCTGACTCTGCAACAAAGCTCAGAAGCCACTGACAGTTCCTACACAAACAACACACACACACACACACACACACACACACACACAAACACAGTCAACACACACTCTGAGCCTGGAAGCATCCTCAGGGGCCTCCTCAGAAGCCTCCTTGTGAGCCTCAGGAGCCCCGTTAAGACCCAGGAGCCTCCTCAGGATCCTCAGGATCCACATGGTGTCTCTCTGCATGTGAGAACTTACTCTGTGGTGACGAACATGAGTGTTGTTCTGAAGGTAATCGATAAAGGACTTGTGTTCTGAAATAGAAACACAATAATTACACATGAATACTTTCCTTCTCATCGCCACCAGCGAGTCCAGTTGCAGGCAACAGAGCAGAAGCCAGTTGCCGCGGTCACACAGCCCCAAGGCCCACTTTAGCTGTGAACACAGCCTAACTGATGCCTTATCATCTCACCTCCGCTCTTGACACTGTAGTACTCCTGAAGGCCTCTTCTTGGAGAATTTTGGAATAAGATAAAGCAGGGATTCTCTCAAACGTTGTCCTGCTCCAACAGCTGAAGTTCCCTTATATTTTCATGAAAAGAGAATTTGATCCAGATCGCTTTTGTGAAAAGGTCGAACGATTAATCTCAGATCACTGCGACACAGAGCGGTTTTATTGACAGTCATAGTTCTAGAAGTACTAGAATAAAACTATTTCCACTGCTTTTTATTTAAGTAACGACTTTAACTTATAAGTATTTAGCACTATTCTACTGACAAAAGTTAACTTTAACTTTTAAAAAGTAAATAAGTGGTCCCTCACTCACTACATGTACCTTCGCACCTCACGCCTGTGTGCTTTTTGAGTGGGCAGTAATATCAGTAATAGTATATTTAGTAGCAGTTATACGTAGTAGTAAATAGAAGTAGTTTGTAGTAGTTCAAATGTTTGTCTTTTTGTAAGTAACTAATACTCTTCCTTTTCTAATCTTTACTTTCTCAAGTCCCTGAGACAAGTGATACCGACAGCAGGCCCCTTTGGGCACGATAAATAACCACGTCTTGCTACTGAGACCTGAGTGAACAGACCGGTGATGGTGGTGTCTCTCCAGGAGAAGGTAACTCCTCATCAGACTTTCGCTGAAGCGCAGTAGGAACGTCCCTCTCTGCTTCCTCTTCAGAAAGATTCTTCTCTTTGGCTTTGTCACAAAACCATGATCAGACTGAAACACAGAGGAACAAAACCACATCAAGACTGAAACACAGAGGAACAAAACCCACAATCAGACTGAAACAAGAGGAAACAAAACCCACACTCAGACTGAAACACAGAGAACCAAACCCATGATCAGACTGAAACACAGAGGAACAAAACCCACAATCAGACGAAACACAGAGAAAAATAAAAAAAAACCAAACCCATGAACAACTGAAACGCCCCGAGCCCCAGAGGAACCAAAACCCATGATCAGACTGAAACACAGGAACCAAACCCATGATCAGACTGAAACACAGAGGAACCAAACCCATGATCCAGGACAGAAACACAGAGAACCAAACCCATGATCAGACCCCCTGAACACAGAGGAACAAAACCCATGATCAGAACTGAAACACAGAGGAAACCAAACCAAGGATCAGGACAGAAACACAAGAAACCAAACCCATGATCAGACTGAAACACAGAGGACCCAAACTCCATGATCAGACAGAAACACAGAGAAACCAAACCCATGATCAGACTGAAACACAGAGGAACCACACCCAAGATCAGACTGAAAACACAGAGGAACCAAACCCATGAACAGACTGAAACACAGAGGACCAAACCCATGTAATCAGACAGAAACACAGAGGAAACCAACCCCTGATCAACTGAAAACACAGAGGAACCAAACCCATGATCAGACCTGAAACACAGAGGAACCAAACCCCATGATCAGACTGAAACACCAGAGGAACAAAACCCATGATCAGACTGAAACACAGAGGACAAAAGTTTTGTCTCAAAAGGAGTATTCATACACAAGGACAGGAATAAGCCAAAAAACAGTAGTATGTGATTCCAGCTCTGGCTAAGATTCAACTCCGGCGCAAGACTCAGAACCACTTTAGTGATTCCAGGGCTAAATCAATTGATGCACTGGGAAAGAAGAAACAAATAATAGCAATTGAAGTAGAGGATTGGTTCATACGAGCCTTTTTTCTATAATGAAAACAATATTTTCATATGCCTATAGCTTTTTATCTAGTATGTCTTTATCAACACCTGACCAACAATTATCTTTTTTAATTAGGATAATGCGCATGAATGTCATGTTAACTCGCGATTAATCGCAACTTATTTATCTATTCTTTAAGTCCGACAAATCATCATTTTAACAACTTATAACGTCACAACTATTTTTGTTTTTTTTAAGTGTTAGATTTCACACTCACCCATAAAGCAAAATGACATACAATACAATGCTTTCATAACACAGACTTTAACGTCTTTATAACCATTGAAGCCAGGAAAGCTTCCCTCATTTCAACTTCAGAGCTGGAGCGCTGTTGTGCATTTCCGACCTTCGGAGGCCGGGAAAGCGGACACTTCTGTTTTTTATCTATTTGACCAATTCCTCATTGGTAAATTCACTGACCAATGCAATTGCATCGGGTAAACCAAGGCTGAAAATTACTAGTGGAACCGCGAATTCCAAATATTTTTCTTGAAATGTCATTTCTGTGAAAATGTTGACCGCGGGATGTTTGCTGTACAAACTAGAACGGGATTCAAGTCCTCCGTTCGACCTCGGGAGAAACAGTGCCCGCTTTGACACAGCTGCAGCGAACGCGCAGCCCTAACGTCATGTACCGATTGCGGACAAGAACCATCGCCCAGCCATGTTTCATGTGCGGGTATTTGTTTGTCTCCCCGTTTTCTCCCCGGTGTCTCCTCCCCAGGACAACCCAACTCACAAGAAATAAAGCTCAGGTACCTACATTTTGTTTGCATTGACAATTGCATGCACAAAAGATGAAATGTAGTTTAACAAATCCAAACAGAACAAACCACAACAGTTGTGTTTTTTAAAATTTTGCTTACTTGAAAAAACCAAAAAACAAAAAAAGAGTCCTGTGAGTAATTATTTGACATTTAGGGCAGAGAGAGGACTTTTAAATATTTTTTTTCCGACATAGTTTTTTGACTTATTTATTGAGAACATGTGTTGTTCTCACATTGATTTTGGTTATTTATTATCTGTCCTTTGTAGAAGTTGTTTAATTTTTGTATAATCTACTGAAGGTTTATAATAATACCGCTGCATTCTTATTAAAGCACAAATGTCCAGCTCTCAAATTCTTTTGGAATTATGTTTCATTTTTCGAGATAATCATTCTGTAGACAATGAATTCAGAAAACTACAGGTTTTGAGGGTGGTTTCTCAAGTCGGCCGTAGTTTTTACAGGTATGTTTTACCAGTGTGTCGGCCTTTATGCGATAATTGGTAAAATCCCCTTCAACTACCCTTACTAAGGGAATCAAAACAGGTGATAGACAATAAAAGTAACAAAGTGCCTAACACTTTGTTCTCAGTGCCGCAATCCATATGTCATGACAAGAGCGTGGCGGAGGAGAGTTTGCATCAGCCATGTGAGTGGTTGTGCTACGGTGATAACTAACGGCTAGCTGTCACACCCCAGCAATACACTCAGATAACTTAGTTCAGTCGACATAACTTCAGTTATTGGCAACTTTTTGGAAACCATTTGCTACACAAACCTTTCTACAACAGCGAAACCGAGCAGTAAAGCAGGCAATCAAGCAAAACACAAACCAAACCATCTAGCTTAGGGGATTGTGGGCCGGGGGGGACAACAGCAAATATGAATATATACAGGATGTAAATATTTAACGCGTTTACGCAATCAATATGAACGCTGTAATTTTAAAAAATTCACACAATTGAATGTGTGACCAACTTCAGTTGGTAGTTCCTGTTAGTAGCGTTAAAAACACTACTCGTGAAAAGAGACTGGTTTGTCTAGCGTGAAATGCAGCGAAATTGGACAAGCTTCTGAAAGGAAATCCTATATTTGCAAAAAGTTGCGAGATTGACAAGACTTAAGTATCTGTGTGTATTGCTGGTGTGAACCAGATATCGACGTAGCACATCCCACTTTGACTTACCACTTGATGGGCCAAACACACGGCTGATGCAACTCTCCTCCTCCGCCACGCTCTTTGCCAAGACGGAAGTATAGCGCAACTAAGAACCAACTGTCCGCACTTTGCTATATCATTTTGTACACCCTGTTTTGATTCCTAGAAAGGGCAGTTGGAGGATTTTTACCATTATTCGCATAAAGGCCCGACACTTCCCCTGGTAAAACAAACCTGTAAAACCACTACGGCCCGCCTTGAGAACCACCCACCAAAACCTGAAGTTTTCCTGAAATTCAATGTCCTACAGAATATTAATCACGAAACATAGAAGACATAATTTCCAAAAGAATTTGAGATCACGACATTTGTGCTTTAAATAAGAATGCAGCGTATTATTATAAAACCTTCATTAGAATAATACAAAAACTAAACACCTCTACAAGGACAGATAATAAAATAACCAATAACAATGTGAGAACAACACATGTTTCACAATCAATAAGTCAAAAACTAAGGGAAAAAAAATATTAAAAAGTCCTCTCAACGCCTAAAAGTCAAAAAAATACTACACAACTGCTCAGAACTCAAAGTACTCTTTTTTTTTGTTTTTTGTTTTTCAAGTAAGCAAAAATTTAAAAACACAACTGTTGTGGTTTGTTCTGTTGATTTGTTCACAACATTCACATTTGTGCAAGCATTGTCAATGCAAACTAAAATGTAGGTACCATTAGCTTTAATTCAGTAGAGTTTGGTTGACCTTTGGAGGAGACACCGGGAGAGAACGTGAAGACAAACAATACCGCACATGCAAACAGCTGGGGATTGGTTCTGGTCCGCAATCGGTACATGACCCCGTTATGGCTGCGCGTTCGCGAGCTGTGTCAAAGCGCCCACAGTTTTCTCCCAGTTCAACCGGAGGACTTGAATCCCGTTTCGAGTATGTACAGCAACATCCCCGCGGTCACACATTTCACAGAAATCACATTTTCAAGAAAAGTTGAGAATTCGCGATCCACAGAAAATTACCATCCCCTGGTTACCCCCTGATCATTTCATTGTAAGAGAAATTTACCAATGAAGAGAATTGTCCAAAAAGCATAAACAGACTTGGTCCGCTTTCCCGGCCTCGAAGATAAGATGCACACAGCGCTCCCCAGCTCTGAAGAAGAAAAGAGGGAATCTTTCCTGGCTTCAATGTGTTAAAGGACGTTTAAACTCATTGTGTTCATGACCAGCAATTGAATTTCTGACATATTGCATTAAGTGTGAGTGTAGAAATCAAACACCTTAAAAAAAAAACAAAAAACAATTTGTGACCGTTTATAAGATGATTAAAATCGATAGATTCGACGACATGAAAGAAAAGATAAAAAAGTTTGCGATAATCGAGAGTTTAACCATGACCTTACATGGCCGCATAATCCTAATTAAAAAAGAAATTGTAAGGTCAGTGAGATAAGACATACAGATAAAAAAGATAAACCATATAAAATATTGTTTACATTAATAGAAAAAGCTGCGTAAGAACCCAATCCTCTACTTCCATGCTATAAAAATTGTTTTTTTCCAGTGCTCAAATGATTTAGCCTGGATCACTAAAGTGGTCTCGATGTCCTGCGCCCGAGTCTGATCTAGCCAGAGCCTGAATCACATACAACTGATTTGGCTTCTTCCAGTCTTGTGTTTGATACCTCCTTTTGAGAGACAAAACTTTTTGTCCCTCTGTGTTTCAGTCTGATCATGGATTTTGTTCTCCTGTGTTTCAGTCTGATCATTGGGTTTGGTCCTCTGTTTACAGTCTGATCATGGGTTTTGTTCCTCTGTGTTTCAGTCTGATCATGGGTTTGGTTCCCTCGTGTTTCAGTCTGATCATGTTTTTGGTTCCTTCTGTGTTTCAGTCTGATCATGGGTTTTGTTCCACTGTGTTTTGCAGTCTGATCATCATGGTTTGGTTCCTTCTGTGTTTTTCAGTCTGATCATAGGGTTGGTTCCACTTGTATCAGTCTGAACATAGGTTTGGTTCCTCTGAGTTTCAGTCAGATCATGGTTTTGGTTCCTGCTGTGTTTCAGCTGATCATTGGGTTTGGTTCCTCTGTGTTACATGTCCTGAATCATTGTTTTTTGTTCCTCAGTTTTCAGTCTGATCATCGGGTTTGGTTCCCGTGTTTCAGTCGATCATGGGTTTTGGTTCCTCTGTGTTTTCAGTTCTGATCATGGGAATTTGGTTTCCTCTGTGTTTCAGTCTGATCATGGATATGGGTTCCCTCTGAGTTTTCAGTCTGATCATGGGTTTGGATTCCTCTGTGTTTCAGTCTGATTGTGGGTTTTGTTCCCTGTGTTTCAGTCTGATCATTGGTTTGGTTCCTCTGTTTTTCAGTCTGATTGTGGTTTTGTTCTCTGAGTTTCAGTCTGATTGTGGTTTGTTCCTCTGTGTTTCAGTCTCTTGTGGGATTTGTTCCTACTAGTGTTTCAGTCTGATCATGGGTTTTTGGACAAAGGCAAACAGAGAAGAAACTTCAGAAGAGGAAGCAGAGAGGACTTCCTACTAGGCGCTTCAGCAAAGTCTGATGGGAGGATTACCTTCCTCTTGGAGAGACACCACCATCACCGGTCTGTTCACTCATGTCACAGTAGCAAGACGTGGTTATTTATCTGTGCCAAAATGCCTGCTGTGGTATCACTTGTCTCAGGGAACTTGAGAAAAGTAAAGATATAAAAGGAAGAGTATTGAGTTACTTTACAAAAAGACAAACATTTGAACTGACACAACTACTGTTTTACTAATACTACTAACAAATAACTGCTACTAATACTACTTAAT